AAATTTTTTTTATATAAACATTAAATTGGTTGTAGTGATTTTTCTTAAACACTTGACTAGCCTAACTCTTAAATATCATATTTTTTAGAGTCCAACTCAGAAGAAAGTGGAGAAGTTTCAGAAGAACGTGAAAACACACATTTATCCCCTTTTGAGGATTCCAGAGAAAATGTTACTGAACCTTCCTTTGTTGATGCATCTCCGGTACTACAACCAGACAAACTAGTTGCTGCTAGGAGACACTGTGAAGTGAGAAAATCTGATGATGATATTAAAATCTATCACAAAGGAAATCTTGTAAAAACAGGAGACTATATTCCAGATGAAGAACGGGTAGAGTTTCGATGTACAGATAGTGAAAAGAGGCAACTGTTTGGTGTGAATAAAATTCACTGTGAAAATGGAAAATGGAATTATAACTGGTTCCCCAGATGTCTGCTGAAATATGGTATGACTATATATAATTTTATCTCAAAAATAAAAGCTAAGTGTTTCAAAATTCACTTTCATTATTTTTTCTCAACACAAGTTGACATCAGAATAATTACTATAAAAATGTGTTCAATATAACAAATACTTAAATGGTGTACCTGTTTCACCACCCCCCCCCCCCCCACCCAGTAAAAATAGTTTTTCTTATTAAAAAACAGTAGGCCTACTATACTTTTGTTAAGTATACTAAAACTTATGGCATAATAAGCTCAGTTGTATGTATTTTTCAAAAACATACATACCTCCTCTCACACTACAGCTATTACTCGACTACTAGGTTTTCCTTCTTTTCTCCATCTGAGCATTGGTCTGATTTTTCTCACTTGCATCAGTTTCTTATTCCCCACTTAATTGCCCCTGGAGATATATGTCTCATGACACTCTCCACCTATGTCAATGCATCCTCTATCCTGGTACTGTATATAAGCACCTAATTCACTAACAGGTTTCTCTGTACTACAACTGTTATAGATACTTTGAGTGTTCTTCATGTTATCTAGTTGATTTCATAAAAAAAAACATTCATTTGGCAAGTTGATATATGAAATGAACTCCCAGATTACTGTTTCCAGCACAAAGGCAAATCTGGTCTCTCCTATCCTACCTCTGATGTCTAGCATCACTCAACGGTTTGGAGGGAAGTCGCTCTCAGTTGAGGTCGTCTGTGACCTTATTTGTAGTGATATGGAGACATATGTTTGGTCTAGTTGTATTTCTAAGGCTAAACTTGTGAGAGCTCCTGAACATTCTGAATAGAATTTAGAATCGCTTTTTTCTCAGCTTCTCGTGATGCCAACTTGGATCAGCCACTTCCAGCACTTTTTCTTCAGTTGGTCAATTGAGTGTGTGATGTTTTGGGTCTTGATGGGGGAAAGATCTGAGGATGAATACTTAGTTCTTCCTCTATCCTCTGATATTGCAGTTCATGCAGGGAGGTGTACTCCTCAGTTATGTGAAGGGACAGCTATGTTTTGTCCACCACGTTTGTCAGAACAACATGCCTTAGCCTACCACTGCCAGATGGACGCATATTTAGACTCTCAAGCAAAAGATCCACTCCTGGAAATGTGGGGTTCCAGAACAGAGTCTGAGGTCAACCTGAATAGATCACAGTTTTCTAGGATTTGTCTGACTCTAACTATGGTTCTGAGATATTTATCATCCCTCCAACGTTTGTCAGAAGCCTCTCATTGATCACCACATGAATTTGATGATGATTTGGGACCATTGTTGGCATCCACCATGGTTCGATTGTAAGCTTCTGCACTTTCACTAGTCTCTTGACTGGTATGTTGTTGGGATTTGTTTGGTAAAGATGCATTGTTGGGGGCATTGGCCTACTGGCTGCCACCTTTCTCTGACCCTTGATTTTTGATGGGTGTTCCAGAGTCTTTGTAATCAAGGGTTGATGTTGCACATCTGCATTCATCCTTGTCATCTTGACTTCTACAGGGGGATCATAGTTCTGCTCCTATTCGAGTTTCCAACCCTGAACATCAGCTTCTTGGTCTACTGGTACCCAGAATAGATTCTGCCCATATCCACAATGTTCCTTTGCTTGGTTGGAACAATGCCAGCATTGGTGATAACTACCATATGCCTTTGGGGTCAGTGTGGGCTTGGTTCTGAGAATTTCTGGATGTGTGGAAAATCCTTTCCATGGAACTATGGGTACTAGAAGTCCTTGCATCAGGATTAGTCATTCATCCCACATCTCCAACGTTATTATCACCCCAACCCATAGTGTTTCTGCCTCCCGCAGATCTTCAAATTTTGGATCTTCGTTCCAGGGCTATCAGAGATTTGTTGGTTAAGGGGGCAGTAGAGAGAGTCATCCCAGTTCTTTCCAGGGTTTTATTCCTGTCTGTTTTTTGTGTCCAAGAAGACAGGAGATTGGCGTCTGGTCATCGATCTTTCTCATCTAAATCAATTTGTTGATCCTTCAAAGTTCACAATGAAGTCATTCCTCAATCTGTGTTGGTATTTTTTGCCAGGACTGTTGATGACCAAGTTCCATGTCACTGATGTCTTTCTGCATGTTCCCATAGCAGAGTCGTCCCACCACTACCTGCATTTTGTGCAAAAGGGTCAGGTGCTGCAGTTCAGGGCTTTACCCTTTGGACTAGCATTGGCATCATATGTGTTCTACTAAATCATACAACTTTTTTCTTATCATCTCCATTCACTAGGCCTGTGCACACACCATTATATGAACAATTGGTTACTGCTAGCACCATTTCATCAGTTGGCAGAACATCACACCCAGATTCCATTATCAGAAGCAACGAAGGCAGGTGTTATTATTAGACCCGAAAAATATGTTCTCACTCAAACTAAATATATCGTCCATCTGGGTGTTTTTTTCAGCACATATCTCAGTCAGGCTCAACTGACTTCCATCCGGCTTCACGCTATGCAACAGACAGTCGGACCCTTACTTATGTCTCCTTCTTCCACTGTGCTAATGGTTCTTTCTCTTTGGGGGATGTGGGCATCACTTGAATCACTCATTCTCTACATGACCAATGGATCATGAACAGACATCCACTGGATTCCCTAGTCTCCTTATTAAAGATAAACATCTTTGATCTTGAATGGTGGTTAGATCGAAACAATACTACGATAGGTATTCCTCTGCCACCAAATCGTCCAGAGATCCATCTCTTTGTAGATGCCTCACTTCAGGGATGAAGTACATATCTCAACTGTCAGGAATTCCAAAACCTATGGACAAATGATGAGGCTTCCCTACACATCAGTGTTTTAGAACTCCTTACTGATCAAAAGGCAAGGTCTCAATGCCTGGACTTACTGAGTGGACAAATCGTCATACTTTACTTCAACAATTACATGGTGGTGTCTTACATTTCCCATCAAGAGGGCACTTGGTCTAGATCTCTTTGTTTTCAAACATTGGATCTTCTTTATTAGGTCCACTCCTATCATATCATCTTTCTAGCATGCCATATTCTGGGGGTGATGAATTTCAAAGCAGATTAATTGTCTCGATCCAACAGGATTCTCCCGACAGAATGGATGCTGCATCGTGAGGTTTTCTATTGGATGTGCTCTTGGTTCGGGAGTGAAATTGGAACATTCAAGTCTCACTCTCTGGATGGCCCTAAGGTATATAAAACATTCATATCCACAGTCCATGACTCCAGTAGGTTTACTTTTAAGAGGTAGAAATAGCTTAAAGCTCTGTAATGCCTGCTGAAGTGCTGTAGAGGATTAAGCATTCAACAAAGGAGTGGTATGAGTCAGTAATCTATGAATCAATTGACTCTTCTCTTCCTCTGCTATAGATTTTGTCAATCTGCAGAGAAATATCTTAGATAGTATGTTAGAATTTGCAAAAGAGATATAATTAGGAGAAATTAAAGAGTAAAATCAATTACCACTTCTGCAAAAGCAAATACTATATTTGGAGGCATTCAAATCTCACTTCCTGGGTAGCCTTGAGGTATATAAGACATAAATATCCACAGTCTAGCTGTCTGGTCAATGAAGTTTATTATTTTCACTTGCAGGGAAAAATGTTGGTAAAGTTCAAGACACTCCTGCATTGACTAAAAATTCTGCTTTGCATGCATGTACTTTTATACACTTAAACCAAGCTTTACTTACCTTTGCATACTTTTCACCAAGCACCACATCTGAAAAAACACACAAAATGTTGTTTTCTCCAATACCAGTGAAAAAATCTATTCCAAAGACTGGAACTTGGTTTCTGCTATATTCTGGGATATGTTTTACAATGTATGCATTGGAAGGTATTGGTGTATGGAACTAATGTTTTGTGAGCACCACATCTACAAACCTAAAATTCTACCTGGTAGATGTGTCTTTTCTGTATTGATCAGATTATATGTACTCTGTGGCAACTACTACCAGACCCTCTGAATAAAGCTGTGTATGTTGCATTGTTTGACCCTAGGTTCAAGAATTGTATCATTTATGATTGTGAAGCTGTTGTTAACACAAGCAGTGACTCCCATCTTTTTTGTTTGTTTTATCCATTGCTTGAACCACCTGTTGACATTGCAAGAAGTCGTAGTTTTCATTCCTTGACAAAGTCAATAGCATCCATGAGGATGATACCAAGTTGGTGCAGGATTTTGTAAGTATCACCCATCCATTGCTTTCTCAACCTTCTCAATCTTCCTTTGTTTCCTGAGAGTCAGCATTTCTTTCTAGTTAGCTGGGAACCATTTGATTTAGGTGACAGAACCATGTGTCTATGGGTTTTTCTGCATGTTGAACAACTTGCTCTTTACTTGCTCATATCTCTGATGACTTCATTCCTGATTGAGTCCCTTTGTGTTTTAGTTACCTCTCTACATAGACATCTGATTTCACATGTGTTGATCCTTTGTTCATCGTCAACACATCTGGCACTGGCAACAAAGAGTTGGAATGAAGATTGCAATTATTAGATTATGTTTAGTGTCCATTGATATAGCTGGACTTATCAAGAGTGAAGCCAACTAGTTTTTAATGTTGTTTGCTTTCTATCAAAATGTTTCTATCTTGTTATCCATCTTCCCATCCTTTGTGAAGATGCTGCCAAAAGGTACTTGAACTTTTTTGGTCTGTTTAAGGTTATTGTTGATTTGGATGTCAAAGGGTTAGGGGGGATCATCTTACAACTACCATTTCTGTTTGTTTGTTTTTTGTGTGTGGGCTGATCCTCTTTCCATATTTTTCACAAAAAAATCCTAAATTACTATACCAATACCATATATTTCCACTATAATTTATCAGGCTCAGTAACTAAACTGTATTTGGGTCTAAAAAATATGATTTTTTTTACAGTTTCAATTCTATAATGAAAAGAAAGGGTTTCCCCATGTAAACACTTCACAGAGGCTGAAAAAACCATGTGGGGGACATTCTGAACTTTTAATTGGTTATACACATGTGACACATCATTGGGTGAAGTAGGTGTATGTAAGAAAATTTTTCCAAAAATGGAAGAGGTGGGCGGGGCCATCTTGGTTGATTCACTAAGTATAATAAGTTGTAGTACGTTGAATAATTCTATCAGAACTACACCAATGCACTATTTATCCTCCTTTTTTGTTAATTTAGCTTTGAATTATTACTTAATTATTAAATTTGTGAAATGTTTTTTTTTCTACATGGCTATAATCAAAAATATTTTTTTCAATTATATCATTAGTAGCCAATTACAGTTTTGGATGCCTCAGCCAATGAGGTGGGATGCAACCTCTTAAAGTTATCTTGTGGGAATGTTCCTCAGGACTCCCCACCACATACATGTCCCCCCCTACTGCTTCTAATGCAGCTAGGGAGTCCTTACCACACCCAGTTCCTAGTTGCTGGGGTGGTGGACAGAGGATTTTCCTTCAGAGTGTTGAGTTTTCTCCACTCTCCGGGAAGAGGGTGAAGTTGGGGACCCTCCTACCTGTGTCCCTGGAAATTTTTCCCAGATGTCGGTAGGAGGAGGACCAATCTACACGGAAGCCTACTCGTAAAATCGATCCAGATTTGACACTTAGCTATCCAGTGGGGGGTGTGCATGGACCCTCTTATGAACACTGTCAGGTCTTAGGTTGTTCATGCAAGGGGTCCACTATCTCCTCGTAAATCTGAACGCAAGGCACTCCCATCTTAGGCCCTTTGTGGAACAGTGTTACTTGTCCACTCCATAATTCCATGGGTAAATGGAATTCTCCTTGCCCTCTTAGTTGCTGAGTGAAAATGACTGTTTGTAAATCCAGACTGGATGAGTTCTGGATCTTGGGTGGAGTATGGCATATGTGATCCTGTCAATCCAAGCCTGGGATATTGCCTTTTGGATTTTTTTTTCAGGTTGATCAGAAGGATTGTCCCCTTTGGTATTGCTTTCTTTCTTTCGTAAATCTGGTTGTTCGAAACACATCATTTCATGGCTGCTGGTGGGGATCCTATCACAAATATATGTATATATTTGTGGTCCAATTGCCCTTGCCACCAACAGGGGATATGGGTACCATGACCCCTTAAATCCAGCCCAGAGTCATGAAACCTCGGGTGCATGGTTGGGGCTGGCCCATCATACTTACTTGTGTCATATTCCATCCTTTTCACTTTTCTGAAGTTCTGGGTGTAGAGCATACCTATTCTGGATGTTTTATGCAGATGCTTTCTGTATGAACTATCACTTCACCTTAATGTGGAATTCTAGCTATAAGTGTCAGCAGAGATATGTATGTTTTAGAAGTTATCATTTTCCTAATCTAAAAATGTATTTCCAAACATACTTACCTCTGCTGACATTCTCCTTCCCTTCCTCCCTACTAAGAGCCAGTGTTAGTGACCGGGATGGGGTAGGTCTCAAAAAAGTGATTATATTGTTGACATACAGTGCATATATATATAGTACCTGCATAGAGAGCATGTGAGGGCCAGCGTAAAGTTATGCAAATTTGATATTGCTGAGGGCAGTCGAGTGGGGTATAAAGACTGGAGCAAGCAAACACTATGTTTAGATTGCAAAGATGAAGATCAAGAAATAGCTATCAGTGTCAGCAGAGGTAAGTATGTTTGGAAATATATGTTCAGACTAGGAAAATGATAACCTTTGAATGTCTTTGGTCTTTGTATGAAGAAATATGTTTTCTAATGCTTGATACTGCTTAATGTTCTTGCTGTGAACTTATTATAATAATCCAATTTTTACAGAATCATTTGGCTTGCATGCTGTTGTTGCTTTAATCCTTGATTAAACAATTGTTTTAGAACTGCATATCAAATTTAAAGAAAATAATACAGCCTACCTCAAGCTACATCTTGGTTTCGTAGAGAGAAGCTAACCAGTTGAAAATAACCTGTGTATGGTCCAGATGCATATTTTTGGTAGCATAAAACCACATAGAAGTGTGGAGTGTCAAATATATGAACTGTTCCTAACTGTGAATAGTACAGGAGATTTGGTCCCCTCCCATCTTTCCTATGTTTGAAGATAGCAAATTTTTATAGTTGCTATATATGTAGCATATCCGGATGAAACTGAATCAGCTTTAGAGTTATGTCAGGGTGGTTCACTAGATAGCAGGAAATTCACTCAAGATGTCAATAATGAACTAATACTAGACCTTTTACTTGTTGAGTCAATATAAAGTAACGAGACTCAACGTAAAGTGTAAAACGAGATGCTCAGTGTTTATTATGTTTTAAACACAAAGACAGTATAAATGCTTACTTGGATGTTTAAACATACTGGACTGTCACTCTGGATATTTTCTGTTGTTTTCCTTACAGGATTTCAGTTAGAATATATTTACACAAGTTGATGGTCCAGACAGAATGATTTATTGTAACATTCCTTGGGACCTCATATTTAGTCAGAGCAACTTGCACTACCCATTTAACTTGTTATTCTCATTTCAACATAGGTGGGGCTGTAACTTGTAGATATCACCTAAACAACCATTGAAAAACTATGCTGAGTTTTACCTGGACAATAATAGGTATTATCTACTTTTGAGAACAACAAAGGAACAAAAGTAATTAGAAACACAAATTATTGGCTTTCTTGATTATGTATTATAAGAAACAAAACAAAAAACTAATTCAGAATAAATACCTAATACTACAAAAAGCTAGAAATGCATGGTATGTTCATATACCTTGTACACAAAGTATTGCAGACATACCTGTTTATTTAATCATTTTTATATTTTCAGACTGAACGTTTTCTACAAGCTGTTGCTACCATTTTTATAGCAAATTTATACAATCCAATTTTGTGAAAAAGAACTTTTTTGATTAATAAAAATGCATACTAACTTGGTAATATTGCCCCTATCTTACTTTTAGTTAAGCATTTAATATTGTTATAACTGGTATCAAATAGTCTGTTTACATTTTGAGTTTGTTTTCTGGTTTATAAAATGCATTGGAAATGAGAAGTAATTTATTATAAACTTTCACTATTATGGAGTAGGTATCATAGGTTTGCTAGATGCATAGCTTCACATATGATGCTATTAACCATTTAATTATTAGTTTTTAATAAACTGTTTTAACTATCTAGAATTTATGTTAGAAGAACATTTATGTTCAGTATAAACTAATTATTGATTGTAACACACTGTAGATTTTGATAAAAATGTATCAGAAGATCCAAAGGGACATAAAAGTATAGATACATCATTTGAGGACTCTCAAGAAGGTGCTTTTTTAACTGTTTTTTTTTCATTGACTGTTTAATTGGATAAAAAAAATTTACATTGCATCTGATACCAGATATTTCCACCTATTTAATGAACCTGTTACAAAACATCCTCTTTTAGTTAAAATGTTAATAGAATGACATTATGATTATTTGAAACTGCAATTTATAAATAATTAGTTTGTGGAATTTTGATAAATCAACATTTCATGTGATATCACAGGTACAGAAGATTTATTGGTTTTCGTGAAAACTTCCAGCCATTCAGAAGTTATCGAAGATGGTAGTAATACCTTGTATGTTAAGCCATTAGATAAACTTAAATTCATATGTAAGAACAGAAATTCAGTCCCTGTGAATTGGGAAACCACAGTACAAGCTGATGTTAATAAAGGAAGTGAGTAAAAAATTATTTATAATTTACTCTTTTCACTAACATGTGTATAACTTGTGAAAAGACAAAGAAAATCTGAAATACTTTTATTAAATGTTTGTTTGTTTGTTTTTGAATTTCGTGCAAAGCTAG